AGCTTTTGTGTGCTGAGGCAACGGGTGGCGGGGTTGTGAGCCCAGAGACAGGCTCAGGTGCTCCAGGCTGTGGTGTTGAGTTTTCTCAGGCCCTGTAATCCCTTCATGACTTGTCATTGCCAGGCAATCAGGCCAAGGTCGGGGCTGGCAGCTATTGTACACCTGGGCAGGATATATAAAACACATATCAGCATGGCACAACCTGTCTTCAAAATGATACTGTCGGGTATCTGCTATATCTTAATTCAACACCCAGCTCCATAGCTCAAGACCCAGGGGAAGCAGCAGAAATAACCTTGTCTACTTTATCAGTGCAGCTGGGCCTGCGTGTGAAATGCTAGCAGCCACTGGGCAGGCAGTGCATAGTGATTTGCACTTGTTCCTTTCCACCCACAGGATAGACTGTGTGCGTGTTTCCTGCACAGGTTCCGTGCACTGTGTACAGCCTGACAAGGTGTCTTTGCCACCACCTTTGTCTGCCAAGGCTGAGCTCAGTTGCGTCAGCTTGCCATTCTCAGTTTTCTTTAATACAGAGGTTTTCCAAGACAACCTCCAAGTCCCCCGGGGTTCTCTGGCAGCTGGGAGGCCCTTGAGCACTTCCCACTCACCCTTGCCATGGGCCTCGCCAAGTGCCCCACACAGCACACAGCACATAGAGACATAGGGGTGGGTGCCAGAGGAAGGATGTGAAAATGTTGAAAATTCTTACTTACTGTACCCCAGGGAGGCCAGGCTGCTGAGCAGGAAAGGAAGGACATTAGAAACCAGTTCTGGGAAGGCCAGATAACTGGTATAGCAAGTGTCTTATCCTTTCCTCCTGACTGCCCCACACCAGCTGAATGACAGTCCTGGGCTCCAGGAATCTCGTTTCTACTTATTTAAGTCTCATTCCTCTACAAGGTAGGTATCATATTTGACCTTTTCTCAGTGGAGTGCCTTTAGCATCCTCCATTTGAGATGGGAAAGCATTATCAATGCTAAATACTTAAGAAATCTTGGTTCTTAGAAAGGGCTCCAGGAGAACTGAAGACATCTGAAAATCCTATGGAAATAATAATATTTAATAATATTTAAATAATAATTAATTTACTCATTCAGCAAAAGTTTAGGAGTGAGGACTGTGTGTCAGGCCCTAATGCAGAATGAAGCCCCACCTTGACAAGTCGACAAGTAGCCCTGTCTCACCAACATCACATTCTAGGTAGGGCTGGGAAATGCCACAAGTCCAATAAGTGCCCTCCATGTCCCCAGGTTCTGCATTCCTGGATCCAATCAACCACACATCCAAGATATAGAAAAAACCAAAATAGCACCTGTACTGAACAGGTATAGACTCTTTTCTTGTTGTCCCTAAATGATACAGTGAAACAATGATTTCCACAGCATCGACAATATATTGGGTATTACAAGTAATCCAGAAATGACTTAAAGCACAGAGGAGAATAAACATAGGCTACACTCAAATATGACATCATTTATAGAAGGAACTCGAGTATCTGTGGAGTTTGGTATCTGTGGGGGGTCCTGGGAGATGGTATATGGAGAATCTTCTGGGATAAGTCCTATGAAGAGCATGAACCAGGGGCGGGGTGGCCTGTAGCTTTAAATGGGCTCTTAGGAAAGTTCTCCTGGAAGCCCCTTGAGTAAGACCTGAAGGGAGAGAGCTCCAACCCTGAGGTCTCTCAGGAAGGGCTTTCCATGGGTGTGTGTGTGTGTGTGAGAGAGAGAGACCCTAATGGGGGGGGTGCCCCAACATGTTTGAGGAGGGGCTAGGAATGGTGGAGTAGAAGGTTTGAGCAGCTGAGGGCTTTGAGGCCATCGTAGAAGTTTGGCTTTTACTCTGAGAGGAGGGAAGTCACAGGATGCTCTGAGTTGGGGGTCTGGCCTCATACAGCTGTTACATGGGGGACAGGAGATGGTAGGAGAATGGCAGGCTGAGGTGGAATGGGTCCCTGCTGGGGCTGGCCAGCTGGCTGAGAGGATGTCAGTGGTGCCCCAAGTGCCTGGGAGGTGGACTCACCCGGACCTGGGATGGAAGGTGGCAGGAGAGGTGTGAGAGGAAGAGTGGGCGGTCTACATACTGCTTGGATTATTTAGTTTGAGCTGCTGTTTAGCAATAGTCAGAAATGTTATCTGAACCTTGTGAGGAGGTGAACGAGAGCATAACGAAGGCTAGTGGAGTGGCTCAGGTGGTAGAGCGCCTGCCTAGCAGGTGTGAGGCCCCTTGTTCAAACTCCAGTGCCACCAAAAAAAGTTTCCCCTAGATATCATAAGGAGACCATGATGTTCCTCCTATGAGGTGCTGGACTGACTTTTGCCTGGGAAGCTTTCAACTCTGCTGCAGTAGGTTGCTCTCATGGACTCCACCTGGTGGATCAGATGTAAGCCTGTAAGCTTGCCCAGTTCCTCCAGTGCCCTCTGCAGTGACTTCAACACCTCGCTGGTGACACTGATAACTAAGGAATTAAATCAAGTATTTGTCTCATTCAGTGCCATGCCTGAGAAACACAACTTTGACCTCTTCAGCAATTATCTTTTGACAATGCCCAGTGGAGAGGTTGGGCAGCCAGTCGTCTATGTGAAGCTGAACTTCTGAAGCAGGTCAGGGTAGAGCCCTTCAGATGAGAGCTGAGGCCTGCAGGGAATGTGTGCAGCCAGAAGTGTGGATGGTTGCAGAAGCCAGTCCCGTGCTTCCTGCATTGACCACCCACAAGTGAACTCTTGTATCACTGCTATCTATCTCCATTTTACAGATGAGAGAACAGAAACAGGAGAGGCTGGTTAATGCCTAAAACCATGTAACTAGAATCTGAGCCCAGGCAGTCAGTCAGGAAGCCTCACTCTGAGCCATGGTTTCTCTATCTGGGAGCTTTGGCCATGGCTGGAGACGTGTTTCATTGCCATGTGACAGAGGGGAGGGGTGGGAAGAGCAGGCACCCCTGGCACCTTGTGAGCTAGGGCAGAAATGCTGCTGAGCACTGTGTGTATAAGGTATGGGGCAGCCCCATAGCAAACACTCATCGGGCCCCAAATGCCAATAGTGCTGAGGCTGAGAAACTGGCCTCGCCTGTGACACTGTCACCTCCAGGTCTGTGGCCTCCTTCTCTTCCACAAGATCTGCACCCCCTTCTTCACCGTAAGCCTGTGTTTTAATCATCACTAAATTCTTAGGCCCAGTTTAATGACAGGCAAATACTCAATGTCTGCTTACACATAGTCTGATTTCTGATAGGATTGTGCTCACCTAAGAAAGCCTCAAGGATGTGTGACAGAAAGGCAGTAGGAAGGCCTGTGACATCTGCACATCACTCATTTCCATTACTTATGAGGCCCATTATTGCACTTGACTTAGGAAATCAGAGCCAGTGACAGACCTGAAACCCAGCATCCAAACTTCAAGTCCTGACTGCTGCTAATTTTTCATTGTCCTTGAAGCTAATCATGCCTGCGGAAGCAGCAGCGCCAAATTGACTAAACGGGACTTTCAATTAACTCAAACAGATGGCTGAGATTTTCCAAGTGACTTTCCATATTAATTTGGTGAGTTGGCTGGACCAGGCCCCAGAAGGCTTGGCGGTGATGGGGCTGAGAGGGAAATGATGGAGTATGTGGATCTTTAGGAGAGAAGCCAAATCAATAACCTGAACTTTGTTTTAACCTAGCAAAAATATGGTCAGCCAAATTGATTTGACTTCCTCAGCCAGTGTGCCCAGTGATGGGTCATCAGTTCGGACCAGAGAAAGCTGCCTGGAGGCCAGGTTCATTAGCCCTCTGGGGTGACTTTGGCCTTCCTAGTGAAGGAGAAGACCAGTCCTGGTCAGGGAGAGAAGGGCAGTGGCCAACCCTTACAGAGAGCACTGGAGTTCTGTGCCTGGATGGCCACCCAAGGGCCATGGCATCAAGTTCTGTTGAAGAGAGAGGGGCTGAGAGACCCTCAGTAGAATTCTGCAGGGGCCCAGGCTCATGCAGGCACTTGGGGTATGGGATGAGGGGAGCAGTGGAAGTCTCCATAGGAGAGTGTCATTCAGATTGTGGCTAAGGGTCCCTTTCTGAGGGACATGGGGGAGTCAGAGCAGCTGGGTCTCAGCTCCTGCCCCTCTGGAAGCTACCGGAAGCATGGAGGTTTGTGACTGAATCATGGAGAACCAGGCTAGACACAGGGATAAATCTGGAATGGGTACTTGCTGAGTCTCTGCATGAGTCATTCTTGGCTTAAACAGCCCCATTTATCGAACTTCAGGGATTTATGAATGAGTAGACCCTGTGCCACTGTCATCCCTCCGTCAATATCCTCACCAGAGAGAGATTCAATGACATAATTGGTTCTGGAGGATCCCCAGTCTCCAGGCTGTGTGAATTTGGGGGACAAAGCTGAAGTGATATTCACATCATTTCACTTAGATACATCCCACTCATTTGTTTTGATTTAACAAAAAACAATCCACCAAGACCAGGCATTGATTGTAATTTGTCAGTAACATTGTCAATATGTCCCACTCACTACATGGTTGTTCTCTACAGGGACATCTGCCCTTATTAGAACAGGATTCACCAAACAGTTTTTGGAGTTGGCCAGGTACAGAAATGCTCTAAACTACTGCTCTAAGAATGGGGTGCTACTTGCAGAAAGTCTGGCTCCACAGATTTTCCTGGAAGGCCTGTACCAGTTTTTTCAATGGGTTTCATTCAGTGTGTGGCATGTGCAAAGCACTGTGACCCTACTGAGACATGCATTGGCCCTAACGTGTCCCCAAGAGGAGCCCAGCCTCTAGGAGAGAGAGTCTACTCCTGGCGACGGGTGAGAAATAGTGGTTCTTCTTGGCTAGTGTTTTGGTTTTCTTTTTCCCAGAAAACCAGTTCAGAAAGCAGTAAGGAACACTACAAAATGTACTTATTTCTTGGAAGTTAAATTAGAACTAAGAGAAATCTGATTCTGAAGAGCCCATGTAAATAGCTTTTATCTCAATTCTCTTCTGATGTTATAGAAGGAAGAAGCAAACCTCATCCGTGGATCATCGGGTGGTATCATCTCCAGGTCATGGGTGGGTCCATTTAAGCCAATAACGTGCAAAGAAATACTGGGGTTTTCACTGCCAGCCTGTGAAGTGAAGGGGACAAGATGTGAACCAGTGACTTCATGCCTAAAGAGTGCCTTAGCTTTGCAGGATCTTCTCTGAAGACTTACGTGTGGCACTCTACGAACTTTGCAGGTTAATACCAGGGAGAGAAATTTATGTTGAGGACAGAACTGTGATGGTTAGAGTTTTAAAAAGGGCAAAGAGATAACCAGTCAACTCCCAGGAATCCCACTAGCTCAGTCTACCAATGTCCAGGAATTGCTACTGGGCTTGTCAAACCATGAAGGGAGGGGAAGAAAACTAGACAAGCGAGAAAAGAGGGATGCAGTGCCAGCAGAGAGAGTTGGAGGTGAGGAGCGGTAGACAGCACTGATCAGCCGTGGTCAGGGCTCAGCAGTGGGGAAGAGTGAAGTCCTTTGAAAAAGAGCCAAGGCATGGTTCCCCTCTCTTTGGGGAACAAGCTCTGGCCTGGAAGAGAAAGCTGGGGAAAGGTGTGACATTTCCTCATTGTGAGATGGTGTTGGGTCGGATGTCCTCATTCCCTCTGCACCCCACAGGAAATGTCCAGGTTAGGGAGGAGAACAGACCCCCAACAAGGCACAGGTTGGTGGTTCAGCAACTCAGGGCTATAACTTCCTGGGAGTAAGTGGGGATGGGATGAAGAGCATCTGACCTCTGTCGGCTAGAATGCGTTCACTTTCCATTAAAATATGGAAGCCTAACTCCTGAGCCATCTGCATTTCTTAATCCCAACTGAAAGGGCCTGTCCCAGAGTTCATGGGGAAAACCCAGGGGCCTACCAGATTTCAGGTCCACACTCCTAGATTAGGACAACTCTTACAAGAGTGGTCACCATGAAGACAATTCCCTCTCTGGGTGGCCAGATGAAGGTCAGAAGGCCACTGGCGTGTGTGTGTGTGTGTGAATGCACGTGCATGTGTGTGACTGTGCATGCCTGTATATGTATGTGTGTACACATTGAGTGTGTATACGTGTATATGTATATATGTGTGTTTATGTATATATGCATGAATACATGTATGCATGTCCATGCACGGGCGTGCATTTGTATATGTGTACACATGCATGTATATATGTGTATGTATGTGTGTATGCATTCGTGTGTGCATCTGCATATGTGGAGGATATAGAGGGGGGCGGAAAGACTGGCCTTAGCCAAGTGTACCTGTAACTATTTAACTATGTCCCAGCTAATCCTGTCTCTTCCACATAGGACAGAGTCAAGTCTAATGAAAATGGGCTGTAGCCAGGCACTGGTGGCTCACACCTGTAATCCTAGCTACTTAGGAGGCAGAGATTAGGAGGATCATGGTTCAAAACCAGGCCCAGGCAAATAGTTCAGGAGACCCTATCTTGAAAATACCCAACACAAAACAGGGCTGGTGGAGTGGCTCCAGTGGTAGAGCACCTGCCTAGCAATGATGAGGCCCTGTTCAAACCCCAGTACTGCCAAAATGAAAAATAATAAAACTAGCTATAAAAGGAGGGAAGGGACTGTTAAAGGCAAATCCAGGTGAGTGCTGACAGCTAGGTGATCTCAGAAGAGGAGAAAGGAGACCAAAGCTGTGTCCCTCCTCTCTGGGACCTGCGTGGTCACTGGCCACTCTGATCAAAGGTTATTGAAAGGAATGTCTACCACTGATTTTAATGGACTGAATGTGTTTGCCCTAACCATGGATGTGATGGTATTTGAAGTACTGTGGGAGGTGATGAGGGCTCGAGGAGGTCATGAATGGGACCCTGTGATGGGTTAGTGTCCATATAAGGAGAGGAAGAGACCAGAGCTCTTTGTTATTCCACCATGTGAAGAAATTGAGGCAGGAAGGCTGCTGTTTGCAAGCTGGGCCCTTCCCACAGATGCCCAGCTTCGGAGCTGTGAGGAGTAAATTCCTGCTGTCTAAGCCTCCCAGACTTAGACAGTAGAGCAGATGGATGCACTAGGTGTCTCCCTTTTCCGTCCTCTGACTCTGGGAGCCTCTCTGACCCCACGTACCTCACTCTTGCTAGGGGTCCTCATGCAGTGAACTCTGGACCATGGGTCCAGGGGATTCTCATGGTATGGACAGCTGGCACAATCTGCTTTTCAGAGCTCCCCAGTGGGTGAGGACACTGCTGGTCAAACGCTCCATGGCAGAGGCTGGAGGGTGGCTTAGAGGACTCATATCTGCCTAGCTGGTGGTCTTGGAACAGTTTAGTGAAGCCAGCAGGCAGCAAGACTGCCAGATCTGTGCCTCACCAAGCTATATCCCCACTCCTGGACACCAGCCCCCCTCACAGTGAGCCGAATGGGAGTTTTAGCATCAGCCCTCCTGTCATGCTTTGATACTGAGATTTGGTGATGGGGTGAGAGTTGGATGCCCCTCCCCCCTCAGGACCCTTGACGTTCTGTGATTTGGGGTCATAAAATGTTTGTGTTTGTCCACTCTGGTAGCTAAAATAAAATGTCCAATTCTGCGTGTCTCATAAACAACAGGAATGCAAATCTCACAGTCCTGGAGACTGGAAGTTCAAGCTCAAGGTGCTGGCTGGTTCAGTGTCTGATGAGGGCTCCTTCCTCATAGATGGAGCCTTCTCACTGGTCCTCACATGGCTGACACAGGAGTGAGCTCTCTGGGATCTCCTTTATACAGCAGCAATCACAATTATGAGGGCTCCCCATCTCCTCCCAAAGGCCCTGCCTCCTAATCCCTCACTGTGGGTGATAGGATCTCATCACAGGAATGTTGGGGGGACACAAACTTTCAAACCACAGCAATGACCAAGCATAGTATAACTTCGCCCAGGCCCAGGATCGGGGGGCAGACAGAAGTCCTTGTGATCTCCCAAAAGCCATGTCCTAAGAAGAAACATAGGGCAGCTGTGGCAGGATGGGTTTTGTCAGCCAGAGTCACGAGTGGGGACAATGTATTTATTTTGTTTCTAATGAAGCTTAGACAAATGATTAATAGACATTCAATTATTTAAAATAAAGTAAACCTGCCAACAAATTCAACTCAACAAGGATGAGAATTTAATGCAATGTAATGAGAAATAATTAATCTTTCTTCTGTTTACTGCTTTGCTCATAAACACGCCTGATTATCACAGCTCCGCACTCCGCGTCAGCTGGGGGCAGCTCATGAATGATTCAGAGCTCACTCTGCTGTCTGTCCTGCCTACCTTGGGGTAGTGGTAGGGCTTCACGGTGGGGTACACGGAGCCTGTGTAGATGGGGAGCTCCATGAGAGGGACGCGAGAATCGTTGATAGTGGCGTAGGCGAGCCTTGTGCCATCAGGAGACCACCAGTGCGCGATGTGGGTCTTCAGAATCTCCTCTGAGGGGAAACAAAGCAGAGAATTGTGAGCAGAGAGCCAGTGGAGGGGAAGGCAGTGCTGAATGGGCACCATGGGAGCTGGCCAGGAAGGAAGTGGCCTCTGGGTGTCAGGCACCTGTTGCAATCTCCTAGATGAGACATCCTCCCACTTCCTGGATACACCTTTGTTCCACAGGCTCAGAAAATGTCCAGTGCTGACAAACAACCCCGGCACAGCAAAACCAAGGCTCACTGGAACAGATGCTGACTGTCCAGAATTGGTTTTTCTGCATAAATTTGAGCACTACGAACCTGAGTATTTCTTCCCCCAGCCTGATGCTCATGACCTTGGAATTATCACATTTGATTTCATTTTTTTTCATTATATATTTGATACATTTTTATAAAGCCCCTTTTATGCTAATGAATATTTTTGAGTTGAGCTATTTATACAGTTCTAGATTGACTTGAAAATATGACTTGAAAAGCAACTAGAGGAAGGAAATCAGTTCGCACTGTGCATCCAGACACACCAAGTGAGAGAGGCGCTGTTGAACCTTTAATCTCAGAAGCAGGGGGTCTTGCAGGAGATGCCAGGGTCCTGCGCCAACACACACTCCTCTGCCACTGCTCCGAGGAGAGAGTGTATTCAAAAGCTTGCCGTGCGTCACTTTGCCAGACAGGAAAGTAAAATGAGCCCAGCCAAGAAAGGACAGAGATGAACACAGTGACTCTCTTAGCTTCAGTTTTAACTGAAGTTGGGTCTTGGAGGGTCTAAAATCCAGGATGAAAATTCCACTCTGCTTTTTTTTTTTTTTTTTTGCCAGGGTCTCACTACATAGCCCAGGCTAGCCTGGAACTCATGACCCTTCTGCCTCAGCCTCCTGAGCGTTAGGCTATTGGTGAGCATCACCATGTGTGGCGTCTACTGTGTGTTTTAAACAAGTGCAGGGAAGGCACTGTCCAGTGTAACAAGCTGCAGTAACTGGAGTCAGAGATGCTGATCTCCAAGGGTTCTCTGTTGTACAGAAATGGTGTAAACTCATTTCCTCTAGCTTTGCTTTAGAAATAATGGGCAATACAATTACACAGCGGAGTCCACTGTGCTGGCCACCGTGAGGTTTGTAGCAAACCCGCTTTGTGTTCCTGCAGTGGTGGGAAGGCTATCGAGGAACCTGAAGACTCATTCAAAAGCAAAATGTCAATGGAGGGCTGGTGGAGTGGTTCGAGCGGTAGGACGTCAGCCTATCATCAATGGAGAACAGAGCAAGTTGGAACGAGGTCACAGAAGGATGTAGTTATGGTGGAGGAGACACAGCAGGAACTCTGGGAACTGGGGACCTCAAGTAGATGGCTGGAGGGAGAAGTCACATGACAGCTCCAGCTTTGTCAGCAGTGGCCCCATGGCTGCCCCGGAAGGCATTTTCCAATGCAGTCAGAGGGCTTTCGGGGTCTCGCGACCAGGGGAGGGCATGTGTTGGTGTCACTTTTTTTATTCCTTCCTTCTGATCTTTCCCATGTCTGGCAGGACCTGGGGTAGTGCTGAGATTTGTAAGCCTCATTAAGAGTCCTCTTCCTTCCAGACAATTCCTCCCTGTCCTCCAGAGCACCTTCTGCAGGCTTCTTCAGCCTGTGCAGACTCTCTACCAAAGGTGCTGGTGCTGACTTCAGCACTGGACAGTAGAGTCTCAAAATGCATGAAACCCATGGTAAGGTGGACTTCCACCCAGGGTTTCCCAGGTTGGAGCACAATGCTGGTGACAGTGAGGTCAAGGACCCAGGAGTCCTGGCTTTGAGCTTCATCCTGTGTTTTTTTCACAAGTCCCCATCTGTGAACCACAGCACACTCCTCTGTGTGCAGTGCTGTGCTCTCTTGGTGTCTACACAACCCCACGGAAGTGTTTCCAGTGCCTACAATGACTCAGAGGTCTGCCGAGGTGAGTAGGGAGAATCAGAACACATGTCAGGCCGAGTCACGGGGCTTGTAATTTTCCAGCGTCTTTAGCAGCTGGGAGAGTGACTTTCAGGTGTGAGTTTGGAATGAGGTGATTCAAAAATGACTTTATTCAGAGTCACCTGATCTGCTGGGGCTGCTCACATGGCACGGTGAGTAATAGACTCTGGCAGATGGTCTCCTGGAAAAAATAGGCACCATTTGAATGCAATTTGCAGTGATTCTGCTCAATCACTCTACATTGAGGGGCTGAGGGAGAAGGGACCGGCCAGCAATCATCATGAGTGAGCAAGAAGGAGAAGGGCCTGGTAGAAGTCAGCCAAGGAGCCTTGTAGCACTTGCACAAGACAGCGATTCAGAGCCAACTCAGGAAAACCCCAAATTTACAACAAAGGCTTTGTAAATGCAGAGGCACTGGGGAGAGACCAGCAGCAATCACAGCAAAGCCCTGAAGAGACAACGGGTTCATTCTTCCTCTTTAAGGCAATCTCCCAAGACCAGAGGGTAACATTTTGTCACCCTTGTATCCACGGAGGCCCCCTTCATCCTTATCCCATATGCTTGGAGGTCCCAGCTTTCCATCACCTTTCTTCCCATCTCATTTCGAGACTTGCTTTCAGAAAGGAAGGAAATATTGCTGCTTCACCCTGACTGGGGAGGGCACATATGTGGGGTGAGAGACTGAGAATATGGGCAAAGGCCTGAGACTCAGCTGAGAACACTGTATTTCCATTAGCAAATGCCAGCGTGTTTCCCCTGAGTTCAATTCACTATTCAGAGAATTTGGATACCAAAAGGCAAAGTGTGACATTGGGACAAAACCTGGGGCCCACTGAGCTCAGGGATGACATGTGGGGTCTGGTGTGTGGGGTCCAATGTTAGTTCAATTTCATCCCTTAGTGAGGTGGTTGCATATCAAAAGGTATTCTGCCATGCCAAAGGCAACCCAAAAAGCCACAATAGCTTTAGTTTATTTTCCCTAAGTCTCCTTTAACACATTGTTCCTTGCTATTTCTAATTTTTCTGTATGTTGGTTGCTCATTAAGGAGACAGTTAAGTATAAGAAACTAAGGGGAAAGGACCAGGCAGATGAAGCCTTGACATTTTAGTGCTGTTACAGATGTCTCCACTCTGCAAACATTTTCTTCAGGATCCCTAGCCTAATGAGGCAGTTATTTAAATGCCACACACCAAATGTAGTTTAGGAACAGAGATTTGCAGACAGAGGGAACATCCCTATTCCATCAGCTAAATTAATTGCATGAACCCTTTGCTTGGAAGGAAATGAATAGCTTGACTTTTTGAGCAAGTACAATTAGCTCAGGAAAACAGGAAGATGTGCCTTTCCCTCACCTTCCCTGCTCTGTTGTGGGACTCTTAGCACAAAAAGAAAGATACATCTAGGGACCTTTGCTAGCTGATGACCACCTCTCTCTGGAAATGCCCAAGGTAGATCCATGCAGCTCAGCCCACAGGAGGAGCAGGGCACCTTGCCCTTGTTTGCTGTCAATGCTGTCATTTCCGGTGTTACTGGTTCACGCTAAACTGTGTGAAGGGCATGTCCAGCGGGACCAAACCCATCTGGGATCAAGGTGGTAAAGGCCAAGTCCACACTTACTCACCTGATGTGGCTGCAGGCAGCCCACAGTAGGCTGTGTGTGTGTGTGTATACTGTGGACACAATGCTGGGCCCTGGTCTAGGCAGAGGAATTGGGGTATGTTGGGGACAGGGAGGGTCTAGGCCCCTTTCCTGCAGAAATTTACAGGTGGCTTTGGTGAATATTCTGCTTAAGAATGACTGGTGGTAATTCCACCAGCTTTGCAGGAGGCAGAGGTAAGGAGGATTGCCGTCTAAGGCCAGTCCTGGGCAAAAGCAGAGACCTTATCTGAAAAATAACTAAGGAGTAAAAAGGGCTGGGGGTCTGGCTCAAGTGGTACAGTGCTTGCCTAGCAAGCGTCAAGGCCCTGAGTTCAAACCCCAGTAATTCCCAAAACAAACATACACAAACACCAAACAGCTGATGAGAGAAGGAAAGCAATCCTGACATTGTGACAACGTGTGGATGGACCTTGAGGACGTCAGGCTGAGTGAAATAAGCCAGGCACAGAAAGAATAATACCGCACGGTCTCACTTAGATGTGGGATCTGATAAAGATGAAATCATAGGGAGAAGAGTGGCGGCTGCCAGTGGTGGGGGCGTGGCACTGGGAAGAGTTAAGGAGCCCTGTTGCACGTGCGCTGACTCTAGTTAGCACTGCACTGTGTACTTGAAGCTGTGAAAGAGTCGACTTAAGGTGCTTTCCCCACAAAATACAGGAGAGGTCAGGCATATGCTAATGAGCTTAGGTAAGCCACTCCACAGTGTGTACAAGTTTCAAAAGAACATGTTCCATGCCATAAATCCATGCACTATTTACTCGTGGAATGAGAAACAACACAAAATGAGCTGACTGAGCAGAGAGGAGGACTGTGTTCTCATCGAGGAAGCCTTGGATTTTGGTGCATGTTGCAGACAGCCTTGCCGGCATACGTGACATACACTTCCAAAGAAGAAGTGTACCTTCTTCAACGGAGAAATGATAGGTTCCCCTTCATGGTTTGGTGCGGGCTGAGTTGCGTCCCCCTAAAGATATGGTGACATTCTAACCCTCCTGCCTGCGAAACAGGGTCATTGCTGAGGTAATTGTGATATAAACTAGATGAGGTCATACTGGAGTGGAGTGGGTCCTGACTCCCAGGGCTGATATCCTTGTAAGGAGAGGAGAGGACACAGATGTGCACAGGGGAGAGCGTCAGGTGACGACAGAGACAGAGGTTAGAGCGATGTGTCTACAAGCCTGTGTCAGGTCCTCTTTCATAATCAAGAAATAGGAGGTTCAGAGAAGTCAATGACATTGAACAAAGACTACCCAACTTGTACAAAACCCCACTCTACACCATGGCAGAGACAAAGTTTAGAAGTTCATGATAAAATATGAGCTATCCCTACCCAAAAGGTGAGTGACCAGTGCAGAGCCATAGCTGGGGGCTGAAAACACAGGACTTAGAAGGAAATTTGAATGACAT